GGCTGAGGTGGGAGGATAACTTGAGGCCAGGAGTTTGAAACCAGCCTGAGCAAGAGTGAGACCCATCTCTACTAAAAATGGAAAAATTAGCTGGGCATGGTGGTATGCTCCTGTAGTCCCAGCCACTTGGGAGGCTGAGGCAGGAGGATCGCCCGAGCCCAGGAGTTCAAGGTTGCAGTGAACTGTGATGAGGCCACTATACTCTAGTTTGGACCACAGAGCAAGACCACATCTCAAAAAAAAAAAAAAAAAAAGAATAGGTCATCAGAGCCAGAGGTGATGCCAGCAATGGGGAGCATTATAAATACAGATGAAGCTTGACTCCCTCACTCATTGCTCACCTCCTGCTGTGTGGCCGGTTCCCAACATGCCACAGACCAGACTGGTCCATACTGGTCGGGGGCCTGGCTGTTGGGGGCATACGTATTGTGCAACATATGTATCTAATTTTATCTTTTTCCAAATGGCTACCCAGTTGCCCCAGCAACATTTATTATAAAGTCTATCTTTAGTGTGTAACAAAGGCAGCATCTCAAATCACGGGGGAAAGATGCATTTAGGTCTAATTCTGAATTTTCTGGTCTATTCATGCTCCAGTACCACCCCATTTGTAATCACAGAAGATTTTATTTTTTAAGTGTCTGATGAGGCCAGCTTCCCCTTACAGTTTTTCCTTTCCAGTGTCTTCCTTTATGTTCTTGCATGTTTATTATTCCATGTGAACTTTACTATCAACTTGTCTATCTTCATAAAATAGCTTGCTGGTATTTTTATTGGGATTGCATGGAATTTAAAAATTAACTTAGGGAGAACTGACATCTTTATAATTTTTTGTTGTTGTTTTTTCGAGACTGGGTCTTGTTCTGTCACCCAGGCTGGAGTGCACTGGTGTCATCATAACTCACTTCAACCTCAAACTCCTGGGCTCAAGTGATTCTCCTGCCTCAGCCTCCCAAGTAGTTGGGACTGCAGTCGTAAATCACCACACCCTGCTAATTTTTCTATTTTTTTTTTTTTTTTTTTGTAGAGACATTGTCTCACTCTTCTTCAGGCTGGTCTCGAACTCCTGGCCTCAAGCAATCCTCCCTCCTTGGCCTCACAAAGTGCTAGGATTACAGACATAAGCTACCTAGCACACATTTATAATGTTGACTTATCCTATTCAAGCACAGGGAATATCTTTCCATTTATTTTTCTTTAGTGTCTTTCAAGAATGTTTAAAAATTTTCCTCATATAAATCTATGCTTACAGGCTATTGAATTTTATAATATATATTAATTTTATATCCTGCTATATCACTGAACTCTTTTAGTGTTTGAATTAGTTTTATCATTGATTCTCTGGGGTTCTTCAGGTATAATTTTATATCATCTGAAAATAGAGATACATTTATTTCTTCTTTACCAACTCTTAGGCCTCCCATTGATTTCTCCTGTCTAATTGCATTGGCTAATACTGCTAGTACAATGTGGAATAGTAGGGGAGATAGTGGCATTCTTGCCTTGTTCTTGACCTAAGTGGAAATGCTTCCAGTATTTCTTGATTAAATAAGATGCTGGCTTTAGGACTATATTTTATTGTGTTGAAAAAGTATTCCTTATTTCCTATTTCACTGAGTATTTTTATCATGAATGAGCATGGAATTTTGTTAAAGCTTTCTCAGCATGTATAGAGAAAAATCATATGGTTTTCCTCTTAGGTTCCTTAACATGGTACATGCTTGTTATAGGTTGAATTGTTCCTTCCTGCAGAAGGAACCAACTCTGATGAATTATTTCAAATTTCTGGCCTCCAGAGCTGTGAGACAATAAATTTCTGTTGTTAAAGCCACCCAGTTTGTGGTGTTTTGTTATGGCAGCCCTATGAACTAATACAATGCCATTAATGGATTTTCTAATATTAAACCAATCCTGCATTCCTGGAATAAACCCACCTTGGTTCTGACTAGTTTTTAATAATATCCATGATAGTAATAAAACATAAGCAGTATTTCAGAGAAGGATGGAATTGAAGGCAATTCGAATGTCATTCTGTCCTCCCCTTTTCCATGACATCTGCCCCAGAGTTCAGTGTGATCCTCCCATTTCCTGACCACTCAGGGCAGCACCGTTAGCAACTACTCCCAGCTGGAAGTTCTGCGTATCTGACTGGACTTCTCTCCCTGAAATCTTCACCCTTGCCCGAGCTAGCCGGGAACAGGAGGAACTAGATAACACGGTTATTTAAGATACCAGGCATTAGGAGCCTTCACTTTGAGCTACTGCCCAGGCCAAGGGGCTTCCTTTAGGGTTCTCAAACAATAGCTTGGCAATTAGGTCTGCGGGTTTTTTTTTAAGCAAAATTATTATAATCGTAAGTTTCACCAGGAAACCCCTATCACACACAGGAGCAGTGAAGACAGGGGTTTTCTGGCTTGGTACAGAGAAGATCCTGTCTCCAGGCTCTGGTAGGGTGGGAGGTACAGGGTCCTACAGAACCAGGAAGAGAGGGTGGATCAGTCAAAAGACTCCCTCGTGGAGGGGAGAGGGCTAGCCTGTGAGGAAATGAGTTCCTAGTCACAGCGGGATCCAAGCAGAGGTTGGGCAACCGGTCAAGGGGCCTGCAGAGTAGACTTTTCCTGGAGGAGTTAGGGGAGAGGCAGGGAGAGGGCACAGGAGTGGAGTCAGACAGGGTAGGTTTGAATCCCAGTTTTGTCATTTACTAATTGTGTGACCTGGGGCATCTCCCTGAGGCTCAGTGCTATCATCTCCAAAATGGGCTAATAAGGGCTCCTGCACAAGGTGGTTGTGAGAATTAAATGGGAAAAGCACCTACACATCAGGCTCCATAATGGCAGCATTAGATGACTCAGTTCATAAAAACCAACCCGCAGGATCCCTGGGGGAAGAGCATCATCAAAACCCCACCACCTCCCAGACATGATGGGCAGACCTGGCTCTTCCGGGCTTGTCTTAACCCCTCCCTTCCCCCCAAGAGCAGGGTCAATGCCTCTCCCCCACCTGCACCAGCTGGGTGCCCTGGACAGTGCACTGTCTCTCTAGGCCTCCTCTCTCACCTGGCAGAGAAGGTGGAAGTCGCCAGAGATGGACTCTGAGGTGGGCCTCTCCAGTCCTAACATTCTAGGCTGCCTGGGATTCTAACCAGCCATGCATACGTGTGTCTGCTCCTAGGACCCAGTGTCTTCACAAAGTGAGGCAGTTGGACTAAATGAAAATAACAGCAGCTAACACAGGCTAAGCTCTTACTCCACGCAAGGGGCCACTGTAAGGACTCTGCATGGATCAACCAATTTAATGTGACAACAGCTGCATGGTGAAGGTGCTACTATGCTGTTTTATAGGTGAAGAGACTGGGGCACAGCGAGAGTGGGTCACTTGCCAAGGATCATACAGCTAATATGAGCCCACGCAGAGTCCACAATTGCAACCACCATTCGACACCCTCTTGTGGCTCCAACACTGAGATGCGGAAGGATCTGAGTTTCTGATCCTCTGACCCTCTCCCCTTTCCCCTTCTGTCACGAGGCCAGAGGTAGACATGCTTTCTCAGACACAACCCCAGCTCCACCTTGCCCACCCAGAGGCAATGCTGCCCAACATCCTACATGATGGGGCCCTTATGGAGCCCTACGACTTGCCTGTACCCGATCATCACATGCTTCAGCTAGAAGCCCATTTTACAGACAAGGAAAATGAGGCTCTGAAAGGACAGAGGACTTGCCCAGGTCACACAGCCAGTAACTGGTAGAGCAAGGACTGGAGCCCACATCAGCTTGGTTCTACCAAGTGCTACTGTCTTCCTGAGAATGAGCCTCAGCCTCTGCCCTCAGGAGCTTCAGCCTCACAGGAGAAGGGGGGACCCCACCACTAACTCAGAGATAAAGTGAGGGGAGGGTCTGGGAGGGGGTGGGGGGCTGCAGAAGGGGGGCGGCATGCTGGTGTGTGGGGGATGGAAGAGCCCTTCAGACTGCAGATCAGCACAAAGGAGGCTTGAGGTGGGGAGTGCAGTGGAGCCCCTGAAATGAGCGCAGTGGAATGGGGTTAGGGGAGATGGGGAGTCAGATGGGGTGCAGTCTTGGAAAGTTGTTCTGTGGGTGGCAGCTCGCAGCTTTGGGTTTGAGAGTAAATGTTCCTTGGCTGGATAGGAGGCTCTCGAGGGGGCTGGGGCTACACTTAGGGGAGAAACGTCTGGGCGGCCTGGGACAGAGGCCTCGAGGTACGGGGAGAGGCTAGAGAAGTCTGGGTGACTGAGAGGTTGATGACATCAAGACTGGGAAACTGGAGGGGGAGCGGGAGCGGGCCTGAGTTTCTCCACCTGCAAAGTGGCAGACAGGAGCCTTGGAGAGCGAGCTGGCAGGCCCTGAGCCCCTGCTGCACCGCAGAACTGGTCATCCCTACGTGTTCTCTATCGTATTCCCCACACTGCCCCATTTTACAGACGAAGAAACCGAGGCCCGGTGCCTTTCCAGGGCATCCTGGGAGCCAGTCACAGAGTCAAGTATGACCCGGAACCCAGGCCCCTCCTGCGGCAGCCCCCCAGCACAGCGCGGGTACCTATCTGGCAAGGGCCCTCTCTCGTCTCTCTGGGGCTGGGCTCCCCCTCCTTCGTCCAAACACCTGGCGATGGGCGTGAAGGCGGAAACGGGGAAAGGAGGCGCGCCCGCCTTATCAGGTCCTTTCCACAGCCACCGGCCGTGCCCCGGCGGGCTCATGGCACGGGATGCATGCCCGGGTCGTCGGCGGTCCCGCAGCCTCCTCCTCGGCCCGACGCCCTGCCGAGCAGCCAGCTCTCGCGTGCTGCCGACCGGGATGCTCCCCTACCGCGGGCAGGGCCCGGGTGGGACGCGGGGACGGCCGAGGCTAGACCACGCGGGGAAGGGCAGGGACCTCCCAGCCTCGCCCCGCCGCCTCCCGGCCCTCGCCCCGCATGCGCGCAGCCCGGCCGGCCCGCCCCGCGGAGGCCACGCCTCCGGCTCCGAATGGGCGGGGGCCGCGGGGCGGGGCCGGGCCGGCCGAACCCGGGGAATCCGAGCCCGAGCCCCCGCCCCAGGCCAGCCTCTGCTGAATCTCCGGCCCGAGCCCGAGGCCCCGCGCAGCCTCCGCCCCAGCGCCCGCGCGGGGCCCCGCATCCCGGCAGCGCAGCTCGGCCCGCGGCGGCGCGGCAGGTAGGAGGCGCGGCGCGGAGGGAGGCGTGTGCGAGCGCGCGTGTTTGTGTGTGTGTTCCGAGCTGTGTGTGCGGGTGCAGCGCGGCCCGGTGCGCGCCCCGGGAGCTCGGATCTGGGTCGGGGGCTGTGCATCCCGGCGGGTCGTAGGGGTGCGGAAGGAAGTAAGCAGGCCTAGGGGACGGGGGCTGCAAGGACCCGACCGGCCCCCGGGGCTCGTCCGCACCCCCACTCCAGCGAGGGGTCTTTTCCACCTCCCCCTGCTAGTTCCGGAGTCGTTTTCCTAGTGCTTACAGGGTGGGCTGCGCTGGACACTCGGGGCTTGACTGTTCCTTCCCCTCCTCTTACAATTCTCTTTTACTGTGCCCCCCTTAACCCTCCGCCCAATCATCATCCCACAACCCCTTCTTGGGTCCCCTACCCCAGGCTTAGGGGAGCTGGCAGGGCCGAGGCCCCAGCTGTCAGAGCCTGTTCCCCTTCCTAGCCCTGCTCCCCAGGTGAATGGGGGCCTTTCTCCTAGGCTGCAGGCGTGTGGGGGTGGGGTACCTGGGAGAGAAGGGATCTTTGCCTTCTCTGATCCTGCCCGCGTTCCCTCCCCCACCCCTCAGGGTCGGGGGTCGGGAGACCAGCCTAGGGGACCCGAGGTGAAGTAGGACAGAAGATCATTAACAGGTGCCAGGTTCTCTCCTAGCTTCATTCCACGTGTTGGGATTCAGCCCCAGACCCCACACAGAGGAGGAGAGTGGGGCACGGAGAGGTGAGGTGAGCTGCCCTCTCAGGGCTGCTGAGCCAGAATTTTACGTCGGGTCCACCTGGCTCTCAAGCCAGAGCCTCTTCCTGCACCAGGCTGGAGGGAGAGGAGTGCTAAGGGCAGCTATCCCCGGGATTCTCGGCAGGGAGACATCTGGGCAGGCCACTTGGAAGAGATGGGTTTAATGGTGATGCTCAGCCAATCCTCAGTGTGAGGCCTCCTGGGGGAGCCACTGTGTTCTGCCAGGATTGAGACCTCCCGGGTCCTTGGGCTGGTCCTTGCTCCTGTCCCCAGAGTCCTGGGGTGGGGGTGGGGGTGGGGAGGCCCTGCTGCCTTCCTCTGCTGAGGAACCGGGCTGGTAGGGTGGGCCCAGCTGCTGCTGCTGTGAGGGGAGGAGGTGGTTTGCCCTGAGGAGCCTCTCTTCCCCAGTAGACTGCAGGACTTATGGGTCAACAGATAAGCCCCCACCAAGGCACTGGGGCCGAGGACTGATCGTTGCCTGGGGGTTGTGTCTCTAAGAAATCACCAAGCACAAAAGAAAAGGCAGGGCATCACAGGCCCAGGGCTCAGCATGGGTAAATGCTTGGAGGTGTGAAAATGGGTGCTAGTCCAGTGGGTGGGGGATTAAGTGGGTCAGATGTGCGTCTGAGAGGGTTGTCTCCGCTGCTCTTGAGGCCTTCCAGCAGGAGGAGGAGGCCACTGCTGGGAGAGCCCCTCCCCTCTGCTCCCCCCAGCTGCCCACCCAGGGCTATGCTTGGGAGGGGGAGGGGCCCTGATAAGGGCTCCAGAGCAGGGGTGAGGTGGGTGGGAAGTGCCAGGGGCTGCACAGGGCCCCAGCACTGGGGAAGGGGGGTGGGGTGCATCTCAGATGGGGACCAGCACTGAGGGTGGAGCAGGTCTGAGGGAAGTTGAGGAGGTGAGGGTTGGACAACGTGGCTGTGAGATGCCTGTGGGCTCTTGGGAGTGACACCCAGGACACTGCTCCAGGCCAGTGCTGTGTCTGGCTGCTTCTGCCCCTGCCTTCCCTGCAGGCTTTCAGGACAGCCCTGAAGCTCTGGTCCCCAAATAGGAGCCCTCCGCAGCCCCAGGGGGCACACAGCAAGGCCTCTCTCCACCACCTCTCCTACCTGCCTGACCTTGAGGCAGGGAACTTCCCCTTTCTGTCTCAGTTTTCTGGAGTGTGGAATGGGTATAGATGCTGCCTAATCACAGGCATTGCAGGAGGGCGATGATTAAGTTAGATGGTGTCACTGAAAACACTTTTCTAAGTACATGGTGTTTGATAGCCATTATTATTAATAATAATTAACAATCAGCATCACTTAGTTCCTTCCCTAGGGAAGGAGGGGCTGACTTAGGGAGAAGAAGGGTGAAAGGGAATGGGGTCCCTCTTGGCTTCAGTGGGTGAGGGGAACTGCTGACTCCCTCAGTCCCCTCATGGGAGCATCTCTGTCCACCTGACCAAGTCCCCTGGGGAGAGGCAGGGGCTGGGCAGCGGAGAGCACCCATAGTGTGCCTCAAGAGGTTGTGCAGAAAGCCTGGCAGCAGGCCCTGGGCCCCCCCAGCTGCGGCGGGCAGGGTCTGCAGCCCCCTCCTAGGCAGCTCTGTCTGCAGCTGGGCTTCTCACCTCACCCCCTGCCCCATCCCTGCCTCCATCCATTTGGGCATTGTGAGTGCCTTTGGAGCCCCTCCCGGCCACCCTTCGAGTCCCCCCAGAGACCTCCTCTGCCCCTTCATCTCTTAGCCTCCTTGCTCAGAACCTTGCTTCGCCTGAATGGTCCCCCAGGCTTGGCCTTCTGGCCCCACCCCAACCTCTGCAGCCTCTTCTCTGGGTTGATGGGGACACCCTGGGACTGCCTCACTTCGTTTAGGCATTAGGCAGAGCTGCTGGCTTCCTTTTGGCCTCGGGCCTTGCCTTTCCCTGCTCACCAAAGGCAAAGTGGGCCAAGTCCCTTTGGGGTTCAAAGCAGGATGTCTTAGGACGCCAGCCCTTAGGCTTGGGCGTGAAAGTTGTGGGATGGGTGTGTTCGCTGGCCTGTAATGCCCATTCTCATTGTTCAGGTGTGCGTTTCCAGGGCCTCTGGCTCTCCTAGGGCTAGGGTAGGGGTGTGGAGTGGCTGAGGCTGGGTGGCCTCCCCTTCTGAAGATCCTCAATCATTTCTGCCACAGTGGGGCATGTGGTCAGCTGTGGGAGAAGGGGTTGGTGGCCAGAGCTGACCAAAGCCCATCCACTGGTGCCCAGCTGGCCTTCACTGTCAGGATGTACCCCAGGCAATGGTAGACAGAAGCTGAGAGCCTGCAGCCTGATCTGCCTGCCTTGCCCAGCCAGCCCCTGCCCGGGGCCCCCACTGCTGTGTCGCCTCTCCTGCCAGTCCGGGTGACGTGGGGCCCAAGTGATTTGTTACTAGTAACAGTAACGGAGACACTGAAGTGTGGGTGACTTTGTTGTACGCTGAAACAATTCAGGGTGTAATAACTTCATCCCCACTCCCTGGCCTCCCCAAGCAGGAGAGAGGGGTGGCCCATTACCCCACTGCCCCCCTCCATTCTTCAAGAACAGTATTTGTTTCCTATCACTGCTGTGACAAATTACCACAAACTTGGTGGCCGAAAGCAATACAAATTTATTCTCTTACGGTTTTAGAGGTCAGAAGTGCAACATGAGTCTCATGGGGCCACAGTCCAGGCTGGGTCCTTCCGTAGGCTCTAGGGGACACTGTTCCTGGTCTCTCCTGGCTTCTAGTGGAGGCTGCGCCTTGTGACCACCTGACCCTGGCCTGCGCCTCCCTTGCCTCACGGCCTTTTCCTCCTCCGTAGTCAAGTCTCTCTCTGCTTCCCTCTGATAAGGACGCTTGCGATCACATTTAGGGCCCACCCGGATAATCCAGGATAATCTCCCCATCTCTCCAGATCCTTAACATATCTGCAAAGCTTGTGCCATATAAGGTAACATTCATAGATCCTAGGGGCTCCCTCGTGGATATCTTGGGGGCCATTATTCAGCCTACCACAGGGACCAACTGCAGCGTCATTGCAGGCACCCAGGTGCCCATACCTGGCCTCCCCCAGTCACAGCCCTGGTTACCCCATGAGGTCACTCTCCGTGTCTGTCACCCTCCAAGCCTGGGAGCCTTGCCGACGGGGCCCAGGGCTCTGCACCTCTGGCCCCAGTGCCCAGCCTGAGCCCATAGTAGCCGGATATCAGGGATGTCTGGAAGAAGGGAATGTGGTGGCGTGTCCCATGGGCTGCTCCAGTGACTAGACCCCATCCTGCATTTGGCCCTTCAGGGTGGAGTGCAGCTCATTCCAGATATTCATTCAATAAACCCAGGCCCTGCAGGATCATTTGCTTCTCACCAGCACCCTACGAGGGTGGCGCCCCAGGGGTCCCTCCTGGCCTACTAAGGCCAAGTCCTGCCTGGAGCAGAGGTGTGCAGGGGTGAGGTGGACAGGTTGAGCCAGTGGAGCATAAAAGACCCTCACTTCACAGACTCGCGCTCTGAGGTGCGGCGTCTGCTGCTTTGAGGCTCCCTGGCCTCAATCTCCCCGTCTGAGGATGGGCACGTGGACAGGACATCTCTTGCCCAGCCTGACACTCTGAGGCTCTGATTTGCCCTCTGCTTGGGCATGGGGAGGAGGTCTTAGCATTCGAGGCTGCCACAGTCAAGAACAGGACACAACTCAGAGCAGTGCATGGGGCCTGCGAGTGCAGCCCGCACGCCGCTTGCCTGGAGCCATGGGCTGCCATCCTAGCAGGTCAGGATGCCATCCGGCCAGGCCACGCCATGCGGGGCCTGCTTCTCTCTTGGGGCTGTCTCTCCAGCCTGGTCGCCCTCTCCTTCGCCAGGCTGCCTTCTCGGGCAGAGCCCCATCTGGCTCCTCGCTGCCCTCTGGGCCAGGCACAGAGCAGGCGAGGGTGAAGGTTGGATGGGGTGGGGGAGGTGGTGGGACGACACACACTGAGCTAGTGAGCAGGTGTCTGCCTGAGGGTGGTGGGCCAGGCAGGGCAGGACTTTGACATGGGACAGGTTCCTGCCTCTGCCCAGAACATCCTCTTCCCCCTCTGAGCCTCTGTCCCCAGCTGTGCAATGGGAACAGCACAGCTCATTTCTGAGGTTGTGCAAGAGCTTGAGCCTGAGGAATGACACCTCAGTTTCCCAGTGTGAGAAATGGGCACCATCTCACTGGTTTTCAGGGGTACAGACTGCCTGTGCAGGAAGTGGGGAAAGAGGCTGTCCTAGTGACAAACCCA